ACTATACGGTATTGGTTTTGCTCATTGTTGAAGGCCGTACGGTGGCTTATAGTTGTTAACTTCTATTTCATTTGGTCTTTGATGGAGAGTTGTCTTATTGGTCATCATACCACATCTTCTTGTTTTTATATGATTTAGAAGTACATACATAAAATATGAACGATAAAAAATGACTAAAAAGTAATATTGTCTTAGACGTTACTTATTTTACAAAAAAAAATCATGAAGAAATAAAGATTACAAATTGAAAAAACTCAACTAACAATTGAGGTGTAAAAATTCGGTCACCTTGACTTCCCCAAGTAGAAGCTATGCAATAAAAAAGGGCCGCCTTCTGGCTGTGTGGGATGTATATTTAAGCATTAACGTCCGGTCAGCATGAGGACGTTAAATCCGATACCTTGGGTTGAGATAGAGCCACGCTCTTTGCACGTTAAAGTGTAAAACGGAAGTATTTTTCTTTAACAGGTAACAACACTAACAATGCTATCATTTTCTAAATTTACCACTTTTTACAATTAATTTTATTATTCTGCTTTGGAAATTGGAAACTACTAGTTAATTTTGAACAAATATTTATTTCTTTGCAACATAATGAGAGAACTTAACACTTTTTCATATCAACTTAAACAGCATGAGTATCCTGACGTTTTGTCAGAGTATATTTGTTTTTATTTTATGTCTTGCCATTCCTAACATCATTGCTTATAAGATTGAGTTCAGTGTTTCTGTACCAACATGTGTTAATGTTATAGTCCTAATCAAGTATTGTCGAAAAAACGGAAAGCCAAATGCATGGAAAATTGAAGAACACCAGCACGATGGTCCTGAACAGAACAGCGAAAGTTGTTTTTGGTCAACTTAAACTAAGGGATAACAATTAATAATAATTTACAATCATGTCACTGGAGAAGTTTGAATGATGATACCGTGACAGCCTTAAAGCAATGGAACTGACCAAGTAGTAGTATAATATAAGTTTAACTTTGGCTCTTCTGTACATGTTCTTTTTGGTGATATATCTTCCGTACGTATTTATGTATCACAGGCTTTCAAACCCTTGGTTGTGAGTTTTCCTGATAAAAGTTAATCAAGAAAAGCTCTTCACATCTTCCAAATTTATAAAGAGTCATTTTCATGTTTTAAAATGACAAAATCAATTTTGCTTGTCTAGAAAATGTTTTAAATCCATTATTTTCCGGTATATCATACGATTTGTTCCCCGTGAACATCCACCGATATCCGTTTTTTTCCAGTAATGACTGTTGTAAATGTTTTATGCTAGTATGAAATTAAAACATTGAAGAACATCAAAACAAAGGTCCTGAACAGAACAGCGAAAGTTGTCGTGCGTCAATTTAACCTCTGGAATAATACCGATCCGAAGACGTTACATATTAGCATGATGTAGACGACCACAGAGGTTCAGAAAACATGACTATGTCAATTTCATGTTCACATATTCCCTTAGCCACTAGACAACAGTGATAATCTTTCTAGCCGTGACATATATTCTAGCGTTAACCACCATGCAAAGGACGTTTGTACTGTCCAACATCGGTTATTCGGTAGCGACCTGGTTTAATGAGGCATCGCCAAACACGGAGACACCCCTAGCTATGAATATGCACCTAGGAAGTGCTGAAGTATGGTCAATGCTGGTATACAAATATAAACATTTTGTTTTGACAAATTGCATTGTCAAAGCTGAAAAGAAAGTTTAAAAATAAAGAAACCTTTCACTTCAACATCGTTCTGTTAAATTAGCAGGATTTGCTTTATTTTTTATTTTTTGTTGTTGCATATTTCTATTGTTTAGGTTTTTGTAGGTTAGTGGATTAAAAAGATGCCATTTTATGTTATCATTACTGAATGGATTTCTTTAGTATTTGATTTTAACGTCCTCTAAGCTTTATAAGTTTAACAGCTAAGTACTCTGATAATAAATAAACACAATGACAGGAATCTTAAAAAATACTGAACAGTAAAACAGACTCCACCAATCACCATGAAATCTCCGAAAGTAAAATGAAAAAGTACAAGGTACAAAATATGAACCTGATTAACGTGCGCAACCATCTTCTACCTAAAAAGACATGATTTTCGTTAAAGTAAAACTCATAATAAAATGCTGGCATTGATCATTTTAAATATTAATTGAAAAAAGAAAGAAACCAGAAGTGACAACTCCATTGTTCTTGGCCCTTTTCAATTGTCTCGCTCTGAGTTCAAGCGATTCCGTCAGTTTGTGTGTGTTACTTTGATCATTCTTCTTAATCGATTTATGAAATCTGAGCATCGTTATAGGACTATATACATTTGATGTATGGTAATAGTTAACGGTAGATAGCTATAAAGAGTCAACTTCGTTATCATATATAGCAATAACTTACCTTACATACTAAAGTAATGTAATCAGTCGTTAATTCCTAGGTGCTGCATTAAAATCTTTTGGAATCAAATTCCAAGATCATCTAGATCCACTTTTGTCATTTCAATTTTTAAGATATACCTAACTTAGTATATGTAATGATGTTCTCATCTTTAATGCTACACAGCTGAATTGTATTTTTGTTTATGTTGTAGTCGTAAAAGTCAAATGGTTTGACTTTTCATGTTAACAATCTTTCGAATACTCAGACAAACCAAACAGTGTCAATTCAATTCTGTATAAAATCGAACATTAACAGACTAATAGATTTCTACAGGAATAAGATGGCATATTAGGGATTTAGAGTTCTTTTTTAAATCAGTTCTGATTGTTGCTCTCCATGGACTTAACAAATTTATCTACCATAGGTTTGATTCACGAAACTGAATGCACAGACGATTTTGATTTACAGCATCGCATTTTGTTTCTGTAATTGACAAAGCAAGTACAGAAATAGACAAATATTGATTATCAATCAATTTGCTATAATTGTCGGATTACCTCCTCATTATAAAAGCAATAAATGAATTTACAAGTTGATTATGCAAGAACAGGATCAATCGATAAGTTTTCCAGTCACCGTGAAAATGTCAGGCTAACAAGAAAAATTGCAAAGTTCTTTTAATTTGTCAAAGAAAAAATTCGATTTTTAAAGTATAATATTAATCTTCTTGAGAAATTTACAGTAATCGAAAAAGAGTAACATTTGTTAAATTCATCGTCCAGATACACGGTGCATAACTGGTTTGTGAGGTCTTTTTAATGTTATTTTAGGCTTATCGCTTTCTGAATTCTATTTTTTATAAGGACAAATTTTCACAATGCAATACAGTGCATCAAACTAATTTGATATCATCTATATTGTAAAACCTTCATTCTTCCTACAACAGAGGCTTAATTACTTAATCTTAATTTAAGTACCGGACTTATCCAACATAAATATAATGCATTTGTTTTGACCTATGGAGCATCTCACACATTTGAGTTATCTCCCATTTTATCAAAGGGACATCCAACTAAAAATAAAACAATTATAAAACATGTTCTATAGCTCAATAAGATAAAGCTTTCCCAGGGAAGCTTGATAAAATTTTCGACAATATACTTAATGATACAAGCTGAATTCATACCGTAAACAAGTTTTATGAACTGCAATAAAGAGATAGATAAACACAGTAATACCTTTTTCTGAACATGACACTACCACATATTTTCAGAGATATCATAGTTTATTTGCTTATTAAATAGATATAATCAGGTAAAATAAATAAAGAAACATACAGTTTTCTCAAGTTTCGTTGTATGTACAAACACTTTCCATGCATGTTAAAGAAACACTTATAATTGATAATTATATTTGGTAATAACATTCTCCAGAACTTTTGCCTAACAAGTCAAGAACCTTGAAGGGACACTAAAATGATGAATGACGTAATTGCAGTACCATACAAATGACCTTTTTTATTATAGTATAAAAGAGAGGCAAAAGATACCAATTGGACATTCACTCATGAGTCGAAAATAAACTGACAACGCAATGGCAAAAAAAGAAAAAGACCAAATTTAAAGACAAACAAAAGTATACAAAAAACAATATAAAACTAAAGAATGTTTAACACGAATCCCACCAAAAAACCGGGGGTGATCTGAGGTGCTCCGGAAGGGTAAGAAGACCCTGTTCCACATGTGGCACCCTTCGTGGAATTTAGAAATTTTAGGGATTTTGCAGGGTGTGTTGTCCTTTAGTTGACGATTCTAATTTTCATTTTCTTTATTGATGCTGTCTTATTGGAGTTTACTTTGCAACGTTTATAATCATCAATATTAAATCAGTTTAACTCTACAATTTCGTTTATGCAGCAAAAAAACATCTGATTGCGGGATGAATTATAAAAGATACAGCTTGATTAATTAATAACCAAAATATGTTATGTTACGCTATGATCGGAAAATGCAAAAACACACATGTGCTTCTTCGATTTTAAATTGTAGTTTGCATGTACTTGAATACTTAGTCAGACTGTCACAAGTATATATCAAGCGAATATTGCTTCGTGAAAAACACAAATTTTAGAAATCCAGAAAAATTACAGGAAGCAGGAATGTTGTTTAAAAATTTAGAAACGCACTTAGCTTAATGTATCACGAGGAAGACTTCAAGCTGACAAAGCAAAAGATTGACAACATTCATCTTTAAATATGTATATTTATTTCAGAAGAAGAGGATGCTCTTTTGAAAATTCATAAGTTTTCCTTTTAACAAAAATAACTTCCTTGATTTAATAATGAAATATTATTCCACCAATCTAGCAGGAAGGTTATCAATAAAAAGTCCATACAACTTTGTCAGAGTGGGATAATTTAATCCATGTGCACGCAATCGATGAAAACATTAAAACTATCAAAAGCAAAAAACTGAATGGTTTTATTTAAAGGTAAAAGAAAAAACCTGACATATTTTAACAAAATTTGCAGTTCTCATCATATCATTAATTCAACTGCGCATAAAAATATCAAAAACAAAGAAATTAAAGATCTAGAACCACCCCATTCCACTTGTTTATAAACAAAAACATTTAATCTAGACTAGTCTAAGGTTTTATTGAAAAGCAATCCTGTAACACTACATTACTACTATGTTTACCATATTATCAAGCACAATCTTAGCATTTTACTTGGTGGAATTAAAATTTGGTAAGTTATGATTAATCTATATAATGTAATAATTAAATACAGAATTGGTTAAAAGATGAATTTTTTCTATATCATTCCGAGACTCCAATATCAGCCCGTAGCGATAGAAGTTGATCTGATACATGTATCGGTAGACGGATGATAACCGGACTGACATGGAACAGGCCATTTATAAAATTGTTTAACATACAACATATCCGTCTAGTGACCAGGGGCCGGTTTCACGAAGCTATCGTAAGACCTGTCATAGGATATATCTTAGGACATGTCTTATGATACTCTTATGACTATCCTATGACTTATCTCAGACCTCGCCTCGAAGCTGTCTTAGGATGATCTTAGCTAAGATATCATAAACCTGTTGCCAGCTCTTTAAATTTTTAAATATTAAAATGGATTTATGGAAAAACTCATGTAAATGTAGTATGTGTTTCCCATAAATTATTAAACGTATTTATTAATATTCCGTAATTAGATAATTTGTAAATATTGATATAAAACATTAGTGTATAGATAGATATAGGAAGATGTGGTATGAGTGCCAATAATACACTAATATACTTATAAAAATTCAAATTCAAATACAAATTTGAGAAAAAAAAAACCTAATAAAGTGATGATCATTTTTTTTTGTACAAGTGAGTTGAATTCAATTTGACACTGCATCGAATGTTCTTTATTGATAAATCATTGTTGATAATCCGTCAACCTATAAAGATTTAGTTAGGAGCAGGAAAGGGAGATTAGATAATAAAATAATAATTAGATTATTTTCAAAATTACTATAGAAAATAAGTGTAATTTATATAAATAAACTTATGACTATCCTAAGACCATCATCAGACACCTCTCGTGTAGTCCTAACTTTATGACCATCTTTAAGAGATGTCGTAACTTATGACCACTTTATGAAACCAACTTAGGACTAAGATATGTCGTAAGACCATCCTAAGACATGTCTTAGTCCTAAGACAGCTTCGTGAAACTGGCCCCTGGGTAGGTAGAAAACTTAACTGATTATATCTGTTATTTTACAAAGTGATTAAAAGACAAATATGGAAATGAATAATTGTGTGCAAGTATCTACATATTTGAAATTATGTTTTTTTTTCAAGGAGACAGAAACCAGGCATATATTGAAAATCAATGTATAATTGCATTCTTTTAAAAGATAGATTGAAGATAAGTAGAAATATTACACTACGTTTTTCACTTGAAAACTGAAAAATATATAACTTGGTTAACAAAAGATGTAAATGTCTTGCACAATTTTAGTTGAAAACTAAAACTGAAATACGCAAACTTACCAAAGTTTGTCATGCTATTTAATATCCAATTCTTATATAACGTCATGCTCAATGTAAATTAAATAAAATAAACATGCAACGATTTTTAGTATTATCATATCATAAGACAATTTTATTACATCGCGATGACCTTGAGGTCATTCCGATGTATTGCTATCGCCTAGATTTCCATTATGTAAATTAGTTTTGGGTTTGTAACCGATCTATAAACATGATAAATATGCGCACATAAACGAGTGCAAAATAACATTCCTTGTCATTTGATATAAATACATCTCTTCAATGAATACTGATAAAAATATTTTTGTTTACAACATAAATTAATAATGTGAAAATGTTTTGTAGTTAGATATATATATATTAGTAAAAAATCATTGATAATATCAATACACACGTACCGAAAAATTGTGTTAAAGCATGCGGAAGAATATCTCAAAGAACATTTTGCGACAGGACCGGTAACTCTGTAATTGTTTTTGCGGGAAAATATGAATGCCTACTCGTATCCAATCTTAGAAAAATCGAATTTTTACAGAAAAGTGTCCACCATGCACTTGCATTGCACTATTATTAGAACAGTAGAATAGAATGATATACAAACGGATGCAAATCATATATATATGTAACTATTATTTTAATATAATATATAACAACAAATCAGTGTATACTGATTTGTATCACTACAATATAATAGTTATTACGGTGAAGTTGAATTTCCTGTCATTTATTCATCATACTCGCACGCACTTGTCTAGAAAAAAATATATCTCTGTACATTAACCTCAGTTTCAGGTAAAGAGATATGTTGTTTTTTTTCTGAGACAAGTGCTTTTGACCATCCTCAAGAACTTGTGGTCATCCGATGTTCAGTACTTCAGTACTTTGATTATAGCTACCTGATGAGCTCACGTAGGTTTTCAACAAGTGGATTTTGCATAATTGTGTTTTTGTCAACCTACTTTTTGGGAATAAGATATTGAATGCTCTTTTTTGTGTTATCGGATACAAATTTGGGGAAAGTCCATACTCCTATATGTATCACGTTTTTTACCAAAAAAAATAAAGTGAAAACCGGAAAAATGTGTATCGCCGCCATGTTGTTGAAGGTTTTTTTTGCGCATTGTATGAAGACCCATATCGACCCTTCTACCATATATATGCACCCTTCGAAAGCATCTTCTTTTTTGTAAGCAAATAATAAAAATATATACATGAACACTAAATAAAATTGTTTGTTAATTTAACATATCAGACGGCGGGAGCCATTATAAAGAATTATCAGCCATGGTAACACGAGTAGCACTTGATTTAAGCGCATCATTCCGATATAGGTTGCTTACATCTCTGGCTGTATGAGGAAGGTGCTATCTGATGAGCTCCCAAAGGTTATTAGTTTTTAACATGTGGATTTTGCATATTTGTTTTACTTTTCACCATAAACTACTCCGCGGCAATCAGATATTCAAATTTTGAGGAAATCGTACGCTCCCTTGTGGTGTAGTCCGATACAAATTTAAGGGAAATTTTTATATCTAATTGCCGAAAAGTCTTTTGCGTTTTGGGCGAGAAACTGTAATCAACAAATTAACATATACAAATTATTCAACATAACCGATATCGACAATCGACTCCTTGTAGAAGTTATTGACCTTCCATGACTATTTTTACACTTTTCGGTGTTTTTGGCACTTTTATTTTTAAAACTCTGATAGCTGGACTATCTACAACAAAGATGATCGATAAAATGAGATCATCAAATAATTATATATATATAAGTCAACATTACTGAACCTGTTCATCGAATTCATTTAGGAGTTATTATCCTGTAATGGTGAGTTTTATCCTTTTTGTGTGTTTGGCTATTATCTTGAAAACAATAATCGATAGAGATAAACTGTCTCCTGCAAATATAAGATTACACATTTTAAGCATTTATGGCGATTATTGGTACTTTGATAACTACACAAAAATAGAGAGAAACTGTGAACAGCAAGACGAGATCTACAACAAAATTGTGGAAATCGCTAATTGACTTCTTTTTGGGTTGTTGTCCTTAATTGGCTTTACCTTTTTTTTCAAATATTCTCCGAGTGGATCTAGACCAAACTTGGGCATTCTTACTTATTATGTGCAAGATAACTGCCACTATTACTGCTAATGATTTAAATACTGCATAGTTTTACCAGTTGGGAGATTAAGGTTTCTGTGAGCCATCTGTTTTTATCACTTCAGGTAATGGAGAGGAGATTACCCCAGGATCATGCAGTTGTAAGTATATTTGTTTGTATAGCACTTACTTTATTTTCCACATTTACAACAAATTTTATTTTCTCTAGAGTTAATATCATATCTTTCAGTTTCAATAAGTAATGTATTAGAAGATATTTTGAACTTGTAAAATGCTTTGCTGTAATGCATAAGTTTAAGAATAAGTTTAGATAAAGTATAATAATACTGTTAAACTGTAAGGGCAAATTTATCATTTTCTATCATAAATTTAATGCATATTACTTCGAGTTCTTAAATACACTCAAATAATATATTAGCCAAAGAAATCCATACATTTCAAATGTTGAGATGGGGAAAATCCATATAAATCATTTATTATATATCTAGCACATTTGACAGTAAACTGACCATTTTCACGTTCTTAAACAAATAATGCTGTTTATTGAATGTGTCACTGTTTCCGATTTTACCTCTACAAGCCAAAAGTATGATGATTTTTGATTCATGTTTATTTTCTGGCACTGAAAACGATTGTTTTGATTCTGCTGCTGTCAAATTATTATCAACGATAATCGCATATAAAAAAATAGGACTCATGAAAGTACAAACGCAGAAATCAAGGTTTATTTATACCCGATAGGATAAGATAGCATACGGATAACTGCAAAAATGCAAAAGACAGACAATACAGTAGAAAGTGACCGATGTTGGATTCACTAGTATATTGATTTTTCTTTCTCTATATGAGAACCACTTTGTTTTAAAAAGTGTGCCATAAATATTGCCATAACATCATCGATATGTGTGAATAAAAGTCTAAGACCAATCTAAGAATTTCATTCGATGCTCAAATCCTTTATAGTCATCACAACGTAGTAACGGGAGTATACAGAATTTCGTTTCGAATGTTAACGAAGCCAAGATTGTATAAACACATTATTACTTTGCACAGATGTGGTCATGGCGAGAATTTTCCGACGTTTTCCAAGACATGTAAACATGCATAGGGGTTCAAGTTAATTAGTTATAAAAATATATAGATTTGTTACATGTACATGTACATTTGGTAATAACGTGTACGTTCTTGAAATAGGTGTATCTACTTATAATTTAAACCAAACATAGAAATACAGCAGTCTATGTTGCTAATGTGCAATAACTGTGAAAATATAAACCACAAGTTTATTTCATATAAATTTACTATATCTTTAATGGCCCTGAAAATAAAATATGTCACATTTTTATAGATAATTTACATATCTTCAAGGGTTCTGTATCCGAATATAAGTGAAAATTACTGTTAAGAATTGAATTTCTAGGTAAATAAATAAATACATCAACTATGTTTTGTTTTTATTCTAATGTAAAAAGAATTGTATGCCAAACCTCCGTGTTTTGTGACCTGATTTTATGTTTCTCCCTCATCTGTCAAATATTAACTCTATGCGTTGGTCGAAATCAATTCCACGGCAGCTATTTGACTGTTAAAACTGTGGTAACAGAGCGAGTTAAACTTGTCTTTCTTTGTTCGTTAATCATCTGTTTTAATATAGAAAATCTACAAAAAAAATATATGAATGTAAAATATACAAGGCTGAAACATTTAAAAGAGGGAAAACCATAATAAAAAAATAGTAGCATCCAGTCCAAATATATATCAAGTAACAGCACTATTATTGCTGTTCTTTATCTTTGAATCAGCCAGAGCATAATGTTTAAGTTACTGTAGATTCATTCATTTTGGTGGACAACAATGTTCATGGATTGAGGGAAAATTGTATTTTCGTCGATATTTGATTTAGTAGTTTTGCCAAAGTCTGTATCTATGCCATAGAAAAGTACTCCGTCTTTGAACATTTAGATTTGTCTTTTTTAATGTTCGGGTATTTAAACATAACAAATTAAATCGATTGTCTTTTGGCAAACAAAATTGTTACAATCAACACAAACATCAAAATCGTTGTTACCAAGTAACTTGATGTAAAGAGAGTTGAACACATTCGAATAAAAGCAAAGTGTATATAAATAACTCTACTTTATTCGTAGTTTTTGTACTTAACACATTCCATATAGCTCCATACTATGAACTATTACTCAGTAAAACTATGACGGTTTTAGGATTGAAAACCTCGTCAAATGTGTACCAGGCTTATAATTTTGTACGCCGGGCGCGAGTTTCGTCTACATAAGACTCGTCAGTGGAGCTCAAATTAAAACAGCTGATAGGCCAAATCTAATACGGTTTGAATTATAGATAATTTCGAAAGATGTGCCAAATACTGCTGAGGCAAAAAAAAAATTATACCTGGGAGTAGAAAAATCCTTTTCGTCATTTTCGTTGCAGTAAATTTATAGAAAATGAACAAATCAATGATATTTCATGTCAGTTTATAAGTGTGGCTTCTAGCATGGTGATACCATCGGGGAAGAAACGTCCACCAACTGTTTAAGCCCTACATATGTAAATAGGTCTTTTCGCCATTTTTTTTTCTTGAACTCTGCCCCCTTAAATATGTACAATTTCATGCGAAAAATTATTATATCGTTTTACACATTGTACACTGAACGCTTTTTTAACAGTGCAATTAATAAAAAGACAATGCGTTTGCAGTAAAGTAAAAATAATTTAATTCGTTTTTACCTAAATAGAAATTGTTTTCTGCTTCTAGTCTCCTTTTTTTAAAAACTTTTCAATGTATTACATCGATGGCTTTCTATTTTACAAATACCATACTTACTAATACACAAAACACAAAGAAACGAACAACACACGACCCAGATAGCCTGATTCGTTTCAGGCACATAATTTGGTGGGGATAAACTTTTTTTAGTTTAAAGTGTGCTGACATCGGACTCGGACTTCTTTTAAACTGAGTTTTACTGTGCGTATTGCTATGTATTTCTTTATTCTACATTGGCTAGAGGTATAGGGTGAGGGTTGAGATCTCACAAAACATGTTTAACCCCGCCGCATTTTTGCGCCTGTCCCAAGTTAGGAGCCTCTGGCCTTTGTTAGTCTAGTATGTTTTTTAATTTTAGTTCATTTATATGTTTTGGAGTTTGGTGTGACGTCCATTTTCACTGAACTAGCACACAATTTTATTTAGGGGCCCATTTCCATTCTCAATTTTATAAGGTTGAGTGCTCGCAAACAACCCAACGCATTCGTAGCAATTCAGTAGTTGTCAGTAGTTGTCGTTGGTTGCTGTCTGTCATATTTATTTTTTGTTTATTGTTTTCTCAAAATCAGGCCGTTTGTTATGTCGTTTTAATTGTTTTTTTATTTTTGTCATGTCGGGTACTTTTATAGCTTACTGTGCGGTAGGGGTTTTGCTCATTGTTGAAGGCCGTACGAGGACCTATATATAGTTGCTAACATCTACGTCTTGATGGTGTCATGCGATTATTTGTCTAATTGGTAATTAAAGTACTTCTTATTTTTATATTATGTGGGAAAACTCCCTCTTCGCCTATTTACATTTAGAAAAAGTAAACACACAATCAGCCTACATAACTTAGCTACAAACTGGATGACAGCACTAACTTGAACGATAAAAAAAAAGACGGAATTTAGTTATCAAGATGAAAATATGCTCGCTATAGAAGGAAAGCCAAAACAATATTGTATCAAGCTACAAATCACCTTAGTAACGAAAAGTGGTGAATATGTTAAACAAGAATTGTCAAATATATATCATCTCCCAACAAAACAAAAATTCCATAATATATGTTAACCCATTATCGAAGTTCCTGACTTTGGACAGGCATCTGATGTCTATATTTTCTGTCTCAACCCTTTTTTATTGGCTTTGCCTCGGAGTAGATTTCATCTTCAACGACATAAATAGAACAAGATGACATTATTCTGCTTATGAACTACATCTAGTTGCAATTTTTAAAAATTATAATATAATAATAAATCAAAAATAAAAAGAAATTGTCCTGCTAATTCGTCAAATGACTTTAGTTTCAGGAATTGGACCACAACTTTTATTTTCCAACAACACACATGTATTGTTGAACGCTTTGGATAGTGACAATTCAAGGACTCTTGTGGAGACTATGGCTGGTTCTGTTTTATTTGTTGACTATCATTTCGTGGATGGATCTATTTACTGGTCAGATCTAAATAAGCAGATAATCAGCAGGTACCATTGGAACTGTAACTTCTAAGTTATATAACTTGTGTCCGATTCTTTTGTTGTGTATTTTTTCGACAATCAAATAAAAACTTATGTAACTGCATGTAGTTTTAATTTTTGAAATGCCAAAAAAAAAAAAAAAAAAAAAAAAAAAAAATTAAAAATAAAAATAAAAAAAAAAAAATAAAAATAAATAAATAAATATGACTCTTTTTGAATTACTTATTATGCAATCATTTACAAACAGTTTAGTTTGTTACGATAAAATATACATTAGTCGTTTTTTGATGTTGTTTGTATTTTTTTTTTTTTTTTTAAGGAAATCGTGTCCATTAGGTAATGAAAACTCTGTCATAGAAATTATAATTCAAAACTCAAGACCCATGGGAATAGCCGTAGACTCACTGAACGATCATCTTTATTGGGCAGACCAAGATGGAGCGGCTATAAAGAGGTCTAATTTAAATGGTTCCAACATTGAAGTTATTTTAGACAAATCATTGCAAACTCCAGTTGCAATTACTATAGACACCTCAAACAGGTAAATAATGAGAATTTTACGATATCTAGTTAAAACAAGGTGAAAATTTTAGAGAAAAATGTCAGTCTGAACGTGTAATGGTACTGTTCATGCTTTATGCGTCCAATAAACACACTTAAACAAGCCAGTACATGAAAACATGCAAAAACATTGGAAACATGCATTGTAGCAGGTACAGTTTATAGTTGATAAATATAGATACTGCCACTGTATAGAATGTGATACGATATTTATCAACTCGAGACAGTTTATTTTCGAATTTAAAACGCGAGGCTCTCCGAGTTTTTATATATTTAAAATTTAACTGCCGAGAGTGGATGTATATCGTATTGCACAATATTTGGTGGTGGAATCTGTTTCTCTAATGATTTTAAACGAAATTCAGACAAATTCAATCCTTTCTTTAGAATGATCTGCAAAAAGATGTGTTCTTTTTATGTGACGTCATCAGGCATGGTCGCCTTTTTTCATGACGTCACAATAGGAAATTCAGAGGAAAGCAAGAAAATTTGACGTCATCATCGAATTTTGACCAATGAAGAACTGAGATCAAACGAACCACACGTTGATTAAATAAAAACAATCAACAGGTCAGGAAAAGGATAAATTGTGTAAGAATTAGGGTTTTACTATTGATAGCCAGTACTTCGGTACTGCCACGATTAAAATGATATGTCTGTTTATAAAACATGCAATTGTACCAAAACTAAGGTTGAAACTCTCTAAGACAAAGTTGAACTTATACTACTTTGGCTGCACAATTAAAGCAGATCTGGTTTATATGCTCAAAATACATTGTGTATTTGACTTTCCAAAACAGTGGTCTCGAGCAAACTCGTTGAATGCATTCGAGTTCAATTTGTAACACGGTTCTGACACAATGAAATCGGTTTCAAACCTGTTTCTCATGTTGAAGAATTGTGATTTAGTAAATAGAATTTTTATCTATACTTTCATAAGTATGAATAAGTCAAGATGAGATGTTATTTCAAGGAATAAAAACATCGACAGAATCATATTCTTAAATCAAACCAAGCAAATTAAAATGAATCCTGGCTTAGTATAAATTATAGATATGCATACGATTGGTTTGAAATAGTACTCGACCATCGCCCTTTTGTCATGCTAAAAGGCTCAAAGAAGACTATGCTATATATATCTGTTCAGAACAAAACCTCTATGACGTTACAAGTTGAAAAGATTCTACATATAAAGAATGCAAGTTACTGAGAGCAAGCTATACGTGTGCGTACGGAAACAGATAATATTATTAGGTTAATATAGACAATTGTGATAGGTAAAGATATATGACAGGGGTGGGTAGGTTTGGAAAATGCTCACAGTATACCCGTTCATGCATATCAAAATTATCAGACGACTACTTATGGGAGTTATTGCCCTTTAAAAATGATTTGTGACAAATTTTAACGTTTTGTCTAATGAACTTGTACTTTGAAAATAATATTGTAGATCGACCGAAACTGTTAACAGAAAAAATAATCAACAAATATACAAGATCTACAAAACTGCAGATAAGACTGAAACTACCAATTTATCTCTTTTAAGAGTTATGTCCTTAAATTACAAATTTGTTTTACAAATTTAAGCTTATTTTTCAATAGTCTTGTTAACAATAATAAAAACGGAAACAGAGATTGTAAACAACAATACAAACTTTCAGAAACTTGACATAGGAGGGATGTTTATGAGGCAAAAATCTCATCAAAACCTAGTAAAATAACTAGACTAAGTATTGTTTAGGATAATAGAGTGTTTTTCATCGTTCATGTTAATCAAAATGTCCTTCCCCCACATTTATCCTATAATAGTAATTCATATCAATGTATTATCTTTTACAGCTGGTTGTACTTCAGTGATCACGGCAAACAGACCATCGAGAGATGTAAATTTGATGGAAGTAGCAGACGGACATTAATAAGTGATGACGTTCAGACTCCATATGGTTTAGCTTTAGGTAAAGAATTGAAGGTTCTTCATCAATCTGTACAATGTCTAAATAAGCAATTAATTTTACGTTTCACTAAGGCTAAAACGTTTTAGAAATGCGAAGCTGATCTTTGCATTTGTGCCATTTTTTTATTAGCTGAAATTCTTTTTACTAATATAATATTTTGGGACCAATATAATATTCTGATCCAATTTACAGTAAAAACACGCGAACAAGGAGAGTTTATATAATTATTGTTATGATTATAATTTGTATAATTTTCGTGTGTCATCTGCCTCCTGTTCATCACAAGAGAGTGGACGTTGGATTTATACTTATAACAGGATAGGCAGATGAGTATAACTTTTTTTCGATAAAGCACAAACACAATAGCACTACATATAGATATAAGAAGATGTGGTATGAGTGCCAATGAGACAACTCTCCATACAAGTCAAAATTTATAAAAGTAAACTATTATAGGTCACAGTACGTGCATTACTTATCATTAGTTAATTCGATCTGGCAGGGTATGACTTTTTTGTACATTCGCATTTTTGTTAACATACGTTCGTCTCTATCGTACCTCTGATACTTTTCCGAGCAATTTCTATGTTCTCCTACTTTCTAACATTGTATCGAGATTAGCGCTTGTTATCAAGGAACATACTATTATCTTTAACTGAAAACCTTTACAGCAGGGATATAGATATCATATATTTGTAAGCTTTTACTAAATGATATAACTAATAGTGAGACTTTTCTGGATTTAAATTCATCAGGAACGCCGAATATTTGAAAGCCAAAGATGTATGTATTAACAGAAAAAATTGATGAGCTATATGACAAAAATTACCTAGAATAATAGCCATATCCTCTTTTATAACCACTGGGTCGATGTCGCTGCTGGTGGACATTTTGTCCCCGAGGACATCATCCGCCCAGTAGCAAAATTGCATGAATTTACTGTCCCTCTGGTATCTTTCGTCCCTCTTTTATAACCACTGGGTCGATGTCTCTGCTGGTGGACATTTTGTCCCCGAGGACATCATCCGCCCAGTAGCAAAATTGCATGAATTTACTGTCCCTCTGGTATCTTTCGTCCCTCTTTTATAACCACTGGGTCGATGTCTCTGCTGGTGGACATTTTGTCTCCGAGGACATCATCCACCCAGTAGCAAAATTGCATGAATTTACTGTCCCTCTGGTATCTTTCGTCCCTCTTTTATAATCACTGGGTCGATGTCTCTGCTGGTGGACATTTTGTCCCTGAGGACATTATCCGCCCAGTAGCAAAATTGCATGAATTTACGAAGATCTAACAGGATACTGGCTCGGACGTCGCCCAGTATAAAAAGGTCCGAAACAGACGTCACCATGGACAAGGTGTCGTCTGATAAGGCAGGTGTCCCCTCATCACCAGACATGACAAATATCCCAAACATGACTCATTCAGATCATCATACTAGTGACAAAAGCAATAGTACACATACACAGCCATCTTCAGTTCTCCTTAAAGACAGTTTGGATTTTGATGACTCTGAACAACACTGTCTCATTTCGAAATGTGGAACAAATGGCTGCAAAACTTGTGAAATTTTAATAACAGATGCTCAATTCACTAGCAATTTAACTAAAAAGTCTTATTTTACTAGAAGTTACGATGATCTGAATTGTAAATCTATAAATGTGGTCTTCGGATTAGAGTGTAACCTTTGCGGATTGGTTTACGTCGGTGAAACGAAAGGAAGGCTAAACAAACGTATGTGCGGCCATAGATCAGATATCAACCTCAATGCAAACAACATTCTGTACCAGCATTTTAATCAGCCTGATCATTCCATCGTTTCTATGACAGTTCGTATTATCGAAAAAATATACCACAACACTAACAATCCTCAACTTGCAACGCCTCTCCGTAGACAAAAAGAGGACTACTGGATTCGACAATTGGGAACTGCGACACCATATGGTTGCAATGACAAAATTGATGGTATAGGTATTCTATCTAGTCCTTCCTGTAGCTCGGTGAATGTGATGAATATTTTCAACTCTACTCCTCGACGTAGACGCAGTCATGGTCATCGTCATTATACATCACCTACTTTCCATGATGTCTCTATTAATGACTTGCTGCCATTTATACAAAAGCCGTTAGGTATTCATCACATTCGAACGAAACTTTATTCATTACCCCTTTCAAAACTTCATTCTCTGTTCAATTTATGTTTGGAAACCACTGTTACAAACCCTCATTCAAACCAATACAAACTTACAGCTATCATTTCGGATATTGCAAGTCACAGACTTTTCCAACCAGTTCGCATTGGAAAAGATCAAAAAGAGAAAAGATCTTTTCTTAAACTTTCCTTTGCCAACAAAGGTCTCGATGGCGTCAACTTAGGCAATATCCTTCATCATAAATTAGTCCAGTCGAAAATACCTCCTTATTTTAAAGATCAGTCTGTACTAGTAATTTCTTATACCTATACCAAACCAATTGCAACTAAAATTTTCAATTACAAACACGTTTTGCAGGATCTCAACATTGACGACTTGAAGTCTTAACCTCCTGATTGCACCTGTGCTAGTTCCCAATTCACATATAATCCGGCTGGCCACGTTATTACCGGAGACATCATCATTGGCAATAACACTTCCCTGCGAAATTTGTTATCCAAAGGTCCGAAATATCGTGAGCCTAAATCCATCAATTGGAAATGCAACTTCAAAATACTGATGGATTCAGTCGAGGATTATGCCAGGCAATGGGCTAAACGCGAGAAAGAAGACGTAGATACTCTTTCCGAATGGATCAAGGCTGTGAGGTCGTTGATACAAATCCGAATTAAGAAACTAAATGGGTCTATCAATACCCACGCTACGTCAATTTTTAAAGACCAAAAATGTTGCAAAGCACTTGTCCTACCTCCATGACAAATATGTTGTTGTCCCCGCAGATAAAGCCCCAAACAACATCGTTTTTGTGTGTAAATATCATTATATAAACTGCTTGATAAATGAATTAGGTATTGACAATTCATTTGGAAACCCAACATATATCCTCACGACACTTACCAAAGAGGAAATCCTTGATAATCATAAGTCTGTTCTATGTTCCTTTGGAATTTCAACCAAAGATGAAGAACTGGATCTTCCATCACTGTATTGGATACCTAAACTACATAAGTGTCTTTACAAACAACGGTATATTGCTGGGTCTTCCAAGTGCTCCACGAAACCTCTTTCTAAATTATTAACATCTACTTTATCAGAAATCAAAGCCGGGCTCCAAAGTTATTGTGAAACTGCCTATTTTAGAGGTGGCGTGAATCAGATGTGGATACTAAACAAGAGGCTCTCAAGAGCTGAATCGCTCACCTGTATTTCAGAGGAGAAGATTTTTAAATGTTAGCAAACTTGATGAACAAATTGTGTAAAATTGTCTTTAAAGGGCAATAACTCCTTAAGGGGTCAATTGACAATTTGGTCATATTAACTTTTTTGTAGATCTTACTTTGCTGAACATTATTGCTGCTTACAGTTTATATATATCTATAATAATATTCAAATAATAACAAAAAACGGCAAAATTTTGTTAAAACTACCAATTCGGTGGCAGCAACCCAACAATGGATTGTTCGATTCGTCTGAAATTTTCAGAGCTGATAGATCTTGACCAATTGAACAATTTTACCCCCATGTCAGATTTGCTCTAAAAGCTTTAGGTTTTGAGATATAAGCCAAAAACTGCAGATGCGCATATCGACAATAAATGTATCTTCAGTGATGCTCAAGGCCAAAATATTTGATAATCCAAAACTAGTTATCAGTTGGTGCCTAATGTATTATCTGGATGTTTATATATATATATATATATATATATATATATATAAAATAAGGAGATGTGGTATGCTTGCCAATTAGAGAACTATCAACCAAACACCAAAGGACGCAGATGTTATCAATTATAGGTCACCGTACGGTACGGTCTTCAACACACTAGGATAGACCTCATACCGTATAGAAAGGCTAGCTATAAAAGTCTACAGTATGACAAAATGTGAAACAATTTAAATGAGAAAACTAACGGCCTGATTTATGCTAAAACAATAAACGAAAAACAACTATGGCAGACAACAACTTAGTCTACTTCTTGACTTGAGACAGTCACATTTGTGAGCACCTCCCTAACCTGGAAAAGTGATGAAAGAGCACAACATAGGAACACACTGTAAACAAGTGTGAGCTTTTTAAAAAGCTGTGGACTGCTGCGCTCTATCCATATTTAAGGTAATACGTGTGCATGTGGTTGTTGATTTAGTATTGAAAATGTGGTATTTTTAGATATTGATTGATATAAAATGGATGTCTTAGACTTGGAATATCAATTTTTGTATAGTCATTAAGATGAACTTTTCTAAAATTTTAAAATGATTGTTCAGTGTTGTACGTTATACACCCATGCTTTTAAAAAATAATCGATTTACTTGTTGAAATTTAAAACATTTACAAAACACGACTCTCGAGGTGTGCCTCTCTGGAGGTATGCCCAGATTGGCAGAAGTTATAAAATACAGATAATGCATTTTTGTAAACATTGTATAGGAAGTTTAAAATTGTTTAGCTAAACAAATCGTGCATATTATAGATCAACAAAGCAAGTAAACAGGTGTTAAAAAATTGATATTTCAATATTGAATTTCAGTATGCAATATTTGCATAATAAAACGAACATGAATTAATAACACTTGATCGGAATTGAAATACACATAGTAAATTTTCAGGCATTTGATGTCTTATCCTAAGACGAGAAAAGTCTGTAATTCTTTATCTCATTTAAGCCAATAGCTGTTGCTGTATCTCAGCCGAATTATAAAGCGACCAATCAGAATCTTTATGTGATAAGTAACTATTTCAAGATGGCGTGTATATCGACTGAAACTAATAGCTCCGCACCGTGATGCGAAGCAAAAATCAGTTTGAAAGGTCTTCACTCATCGGCCCGAAGAACAAAAACAACTAAAAAAAATATTAAATACCAATCTAAGTTTACTCGCAGTTACTGAAAGCTAGTTCATAACCTTTTACAACGAATAAAATATGTTGCGCCCGACTGAAATATCAATTAATTCACTTCCAACGGATTAAGTGTTAAAACATGAGCTTGTGCAATGTTAAAATATAATTAATAAGTCCAGCAGGATCAATAATCATAATTGTTCACAACTGTATAGCAATACATATTTCGATTTGTTTAAATAAAATCGATGTTAGCACCGATAACGACAATATTCAAAGATCTTTCTAATGCGTTAAATGCTAACCTTGAAGCATAAATTTATTCTAATGTATAGAGTAAAGTAAAATCACAAAAATACTGAACTCCGTGGAAAATTCAAAACGGAAAGTCCCTAATCAAATGGCAAAATTAAATAATAAAACACATCAAACGAATGGAGCTAATGTATCTAAATTTACGGGCTTTATATAAATAACATCAACGTAAAATAAAGTGCATACATTTGATGCTACAACTTGCTTTAAAGTCAATATATATTTACAAGTGTAGAAAATGAATTAACTTTAAAACGAAAATATCACCGATTTAACGTTGAGTGTTATTAAAATTTAAAATCAAATGAAATCTATACGCATCTTAACGGATTTGGTCATAAACTATGATTCATAACAATACAGAAACACGTCTATTATTAAAGGTGTGCAATGGATGTTCATTAAACCTGGCAATAAACTGTAAAGGAGAAGATTTACAGTTTTAATCATTTCATCACAGTTCCAGCAAGAATATCTTGCTTATTACATGAGCAGATTTCATTATTTAGGTTAGGTTAAGAGTTTTTGTCCCCTGCGCGACGCGCTGCGTGGGACACGCTGCGTGGGACATAGAAATACTGGGTGTCCGTGCGTCTGGGCTTGTAAAGCGCTCACGTGTATAATTCATGTCAGATATTTATGAAATTTTTATCAAAGGTTAATATCAGCAATGTCCGCACACTTTCGAAAATCAGTGCCGACTAACGATTTTTAAAAGAGTAATGCCCCTTGTAAATATTACTTTTATGAAAAATTGCATTTTAAGTGTTCTAAACATTACATTTCTTGTAGGATTGTTTTCAAATTTAAATCAAAGGTTTACATCAACAATGTGTGGTAAGAGTTCGAAAATCAGCGCTAATGAATTATTTTCATGTTCTTTAGAAATGTAAATTCTATAGAACATTGGATTCTAGTTATAGCGCTCATCTAGTATGCAATTCTTGCCTGATATTTATGAAATTGATACCGAAGGTTTATATTAGCAACATCAGTAACGATAAACTATTTTTAAAAGAGTAATACCCTTGGAAATATTAAATTTATAGAAAACTGCATTGTAAATATAAGCGCTGACAAGCCTACATTTCTTGCAGGATTTTTATGAAATTTATATCAAAGTTTTATATCAACAATTGTAAGAGTTTGAAGATAAGGGCAAATCAATTATTCTTATAGGAGTTATGTCTCTTTATTTAAATTACTGCCCTTGGACATATAAAATATGCCTAACGCGGAGGACATTGGAACTCTGTTCTTTTATTTTATTTTGAGAATTTGGGGTTAATGCATGGTTGATCTTAGATAATTGGTATAAAGTTACTCTTTTGTCAATTTTGGCTGATTTAGAGGTTGAAATATTGTATCGACAACTGTCTAATGTTAAAGATTGTATGCTGACCTCTAGTTGTTGTTTGGATATTTGTGTCGTTTTATTGATGTCGCAATGACGTGTAACACATAAAGACAACAGAAGTATACCGCTGTTCAATAGTCATAAATCGATTAAGCGAAAACAAATCCGTGTCACAAACCAAAACCGAGGGAAACACATCAAATAGAAGAGGAAAACAACGGAACAACAGAAACACTGAACTGCTACAAAACAACAGAAACACTGAACTGCTACAAAACCAAACACCAACAGACATAGAAACGGACTACTTGATAACAACTGCCATATTCCTGACTTGCTACAGGACATTTTAAAAACTACTGCTAAATGAGAACATTACGTGACAGGAATACAGTACAAATAAACGCAAGAACACTCAGGACAGAGAAATACATAAATACATAATATAATAGTACATTACAACATATAAACCACAGAATAACAACGTACACCTCCCATTAGTTTACAACACTTGTCTTATTATTCCCAGCTATGTTTTACCATGCCTCGACGAAGTCGAAAAATAGTAATTTAGGCGTGCAGTTTCCGGCGGCGGCGGTGCTGTCAGCAATGTTTTAGTTTGTGGTTAAGGAACTACTAGTGATAGATCAATGGTATTTGGTATGCAGTTGTATAGTAAAATACCTCCTTACCTTCAAGATCAGTCTATATCATCTCTTATACCTATAACAAAACAATGTGACTAAAATGTTTAATTACAAACACGTGTTGCAAGCTCTCAATATTGACATACATCATTGTCTATAACACTTCTCTGCGAAATGTGTTATCAAAAGGCCCGAAATATCTAGAGCATAACATATATTTTTTCCTTTACTGAAGCAATAACACAGCTATCTGTATATCAGGCGATCTTCAATAAAATGTTCTTTTATATGAAAAAATGTTTCAAGTTCAATATTTCACACTCGGTCAAGTTTCAGGGTTATAAAATTTACATGAATAGTGGTTTACGAATTAAGTGATGTATTAGAATTAGAAAGATAAAAGTCAACTATCAATCCGAATGCCTTTTCACTAGATATAGCTTATCAACGTATTTTATATGAATAACACGACGGGTGTCAGACGTGTAGCAGGATCTGCTAAGTTGTTAACCCTTCCACAGCACATGATATCACCACGGGTTTATGTTTTGGTGGGGTTCGTTTTGCTCAGTCTTTAGTTTTCTATGATGTGTTTGTCTTTTCGTGGTTTTTCGAATTTTTGCCATGGCATTGTCAGTTTGTTTTCGACTTATGAGTTTGAATACCCTTTGGTATATTTCGCCCCTTTTAAAGTGACTGCTTTGATATTTATTAAGCGACAAGATGAATATGTGTTTGCATTATATATTCACCACTTGAAATCATCTTATTGGATCAAAATGGATACTGTTCCGATACAATTTACACAAGCTCTTTCAGAAATGTATTAATTAAAAGACATATTTATGTTTACATACAGATTTGAACTCAAAAAGATTATATTGGACCGATTCTGCATTGTATCACATCAAATCTTCTAATTTGGACGGCACTGATGTTAAACTAGTTTCTATAGATGTATCATCATTGGTAGACAAAATAGAAATTGTTGTTATGGGAATCGACTTATATGGATCTTACATGTATGTTAGTAATCTTGGAACTGGAATATACAGGATACAGAAAAACAAAGAGAATGCCGTGCCAAAAAGAATATCTGGGACTCATCATTCAGTTTACGGTGTAAAGATAACAAGTAAGCAATCATCGAAAAAAAATATCTGTACCGTTTTCTTGGTTAACATTATACACAACATACATAGGGAATCATGTTTATTTAACTCATAAAAGAAATAAATGTACCAATTTTGACTATCGGTGCGTATCCGACAACAAGTGATCCTATAACAACATATTTATCGATAGGGTATCTAATATTCATACTTTCAGACCATCCGTATAAAATTTCTTCTCAACTTCCTGACCTGACGTGTTCCAAATTTTAAAACTCATTCAAGCCAATAAAATCGTAGCCACACCAATAAGCAACCAATCAGAACCAACTTTTGCTTAGTAATAATTTCAAGGTGGCGCATATATTAACTGAAACTGATAGCGTAGCACCGTTAATCAAATATATACTATGTATAAACTTATTTTATTGTTCAAAAGAATAAATGTATCAGACAAAAGTTTTGTAATGTCTTCTATAAAAACTGTTTCAACAAGGATTGGTTTACGTTACTTCTAAATATGATTTTATTTATTCGCATGGCGGTCGATACATCATCCATAGCAGTATAGACGTTTCCCTGTCGATGCACCTGGTTTTGTTTGATATCTTGATTTGTCCCTTTTTAATCGATTTACGAGATTTTAATATCAGTAAACGTACGACACACAAAACACAAACATGCAACTAGATGTCAACATAGAGTACGAAACGTCATAGTTTTGGCCGAAAATGGTCCGTTATGACCCTACTTCTTTAAAAGATATTATCCGACAGAAAACCTGCAACTTGCATGAAATCCCCCAAATAAAAAAAAAGATCATTAAAGGAAAGAAAGAAAGAAAATCAACTTCTAAATAATCATAGATACCAGGATTTTGTACGACAGACGCGGGTTTCGTCTTCAAAAGACTAATCAGTGACAATCGAATCAAAAAAGGTAAAAAGGCCAAATAAAGTACGAAGTTAGAGATCGTTGAGGACCCAAATTTCTGACAGGTTTAATTTGCAAAATGCAGCTAAGGTAATCTATTCCTGACTTATGTCTGAAATACTGAAAAGTTCAGACATATGCTTGCACATTGTACTTACAATGTTTCATGATTTATATTGTAGAAAGCCACACAAGTGATGCAACAACGGTGAAAGGTAAGGTTGAATATTTATTCCAAAAACAATAATATATAATTTAAAAAAAATGTTTATCCATTTAATAACTGGCAAGAGTCAGAAACAATGCCTCCAATGTATCTGTAACTCTCCCCCCCCCTCCAATGACAAAAATAAAGAAAAAAACATCAATTACTTATTCCGGAATTACCATTAATCCTAGATCTTCTTGATGTACAATTCCAATATTTTCTAAAGAAACAGAACAAAAATTTACATAAAAAATTGGACCGACATATAATTAGTTGACCTTAATTGATAACATATATTACCGACATTTTAACACATTAACTGGACAAACCTCCATGGCTAGACGCTTTCATGAAAACAGCGGGATAAAAGAAATGGGATGATAAATAAAATATAAGTTTAACATGTAACATATAAATCATTACTTGATATACTGTATTTGATTGTTCAAAAAGCAATTGTTTATCTCAATGCAACTTTTTTGTTTAAGGTACATTCTATATATTAGTAGTATTGAAATATTTACCATGGTTTTACTGCCGGATGTAATAAGTCTTGGTACATGTAACTGTATTACTTTAGTCAAGTCAATCCTTTTGTGAGATAAAATATTTTCCTGAAATATTTTTATAATGAATATTTGATAATTATTCCCCATTTACATAATAATAATTCGTTGAATAGCTGTGCATTTGTTCCAATTAAAAAAAAACTACATATCCAAAATATCAAATACTTCACTAAATCATATTATAAGACCGACCCTAAATTATTTTGCTTTGTTGAAAAATGTTTCTAAATATTTTATTTATCCAAGTTCAGGTAGCAATACAATGTTAGGAAAACAATTAAAATTGACACTCTTAATTTTTAACCAACCTCTTTTACGTTCTCATTAATGTGCATAGTGTATGTAAAAGGTAAAATCAACAAAAATACTGAACTCCGAGGAAAATTCAAAAACGAAAGTCCCTAATCAAATGGCAAAATCAAAAGCTCAAACACATCAAACGAATGGATAACAACTGTCATATTCTGACTTGGTACAGGCATTTTCTTATGTAGAAAATGGTGGATTGAACCTGGTTTTATAGCTAGCTAAACCTTTCACTTGTATGACAGTCGCATCAAATTCCATTATATTGACAACGATGCGTGAACAAAACAAACAGACACAATAGGTAAAAATGTCAAAAATAGTGGTACAACAGTCAACATTGTGTTATCATCTTAATCATATAAAAACAAACAAATGTAACAAAGAAGCACAAAAAGGCATACATCAAATTTAACATTTTTTTTATTATACGATTTTATTTATCTATGTAAAATCCAACCATAAAGGATGGAAGGTTTTAAGTACCGGCATAGAATCGCGCGTTTGACATTACACAGGTAGATATATAAAAAATGTTTTAAACAACATCTTCCATATATTGGATTTCCAATAGGTGAAGTAGTGCATTATTAATCTTTTTGGCGTAACTATGGTAACAATCCCCCTATATTTGCTCCAAATTTTGTATTTCAAAATATCAAACAATAATCTCACATGTTTTTCACCTCTTGTTTTCGCATTGGAAAGTTCGTGCGAAATAAAGTGTTAATAAACATTGTTTGGAGACGAAAGTACAGACTGTCAAACAGAACATAGCCCTTAAAACATACCTAAAACAATCTTGATGTTGTGTATAAACCAATTTTGAAGGCATTTTATTATTATTCAGCTGTCTAAAACTTCATTTTATTGCACAACAACTTTCATCACTGAAAACTTCACCTAGAGCGAGTGCGAAACCACACTCCTAACTGTGTATTGCTGCTTGAGAGAAAACGGATACAGTACATTTCTTAGGATAAGGGTGGAACAGGCATGAACGTCGACGATTACAACCTTCCTTTCTAATAAAGTACACTAGAATTTATTCCTAAAACAATTCTTACTGATAAAAAATCAACTGAAACATGAATAAAAGGTGAATTGGGGTTAACGTCAGTACGAAATCACCCCAATGACTAAAAAAAAATGTACAGAAAGCAACATATATTCTGTAACAATACACAAATATCCATACATCAATCAAGCTTTAATTGTATAAAGCAATTGTCAAGTTCCTTTAAAGGGACATTAGCTGTCAAATTCATTTTCACCGATTTGACTCAAATTCTCATATTTAGTTTATCATAACATACTAGAACATATATATCCAAATTACAAAATGTCCAAAAGAAATAGTTAATAAAAGATTGACTCGATATAATGTACCAGTATTTCACGTGTATTCAAGTCTTGTTTCACTTTTCAATGTTGAAATTCTTTTTTTTTTTAAATAACTAATTTAAGCTGTTGTCACACCTAACGGGATAGCTCGGACGGACGCCGAACGGATGAAAAAGTTTTCTGTTGTGTACTGACCAAATAAAACGGACGCGTAACGAATGCCTAACGGACACACACATGATATGCAACGTACGAGAAACGTAATCGTACCGGACAGAACGGATGTCGAACGTACATCCAACGGACGAGTACCGCATAAAACGGACACCTAACGGAAGCGTACCGGTTCAAACGTATGAACAAGATAAGCGGAAAATTAAAGGCGGCAATAATAATACATGTAAATTACATACACGTGACCTTAAAATAATTAAATATACCAAAACTGCGTCCTCTTTCAGGACTAAGCCATGATCTTGTTCACCATTTCCTTTGTCTTCTCCTTCTTCTCCTTTCGACAGCTAGTAGGTTTATATTTGCAACATTTAAGTTTAGTCTGGCCTGAATAAGAGCTGCTTGATAATGAAGACGTGTCCTTACTCCAAGATCCATCATGAATAATAAACATTCATGACACTCAAGAAATCTGACATACCAATAATTTGCATTTCTGACTCAAAATTTTCAATTGGCATTTATCCGTTTTACATTCGGTTCGTATCCGTTTTATCCGTTATCTTTCCGTGCATGTCCGTTTCACATCCGTTCATCATCCGTTATACGTCCGGTAGAAGTCCGTTGGTGAATTGGTCTACCGGACCTCCAACGGATGTATAACGGACAAGTAACGGATACAAAACGGAAACGGAACGGACGAATACCGGACGTTCAACGGACACTTCATCCGTTGAACGTCCGTTCAAAGTTTGGAACATGCTCACAATTTTCCACCGGACAGAACGGACGTCGACGGATAAAACGGACGCTGAACGGATATAGACGGAGGTTTAACGGATATGAACGGACGTCAAACGGACATGAACAGATTGTAAAAAAAGTTATCCGTTCGGCGTCCGTTCGCGCTTTCCGATAAGGTGTGACCGGGGCTTATAAATGCGCAACCCATCTACAGCTAAAGTTGCAAATCAAGGTAGCATCAATACGGATTTAAATTAATTGAATTGTTGACTTGTAAGCCAATAATACTCCATTTCAGCGGGTTTTAGGCTTATTTTGACAAAATTGAACAAAACAGACTGCGAAAAGCGAAATAGTCTCTCAATTTTCCATGTTGATTTTGCTATTTGATTAGGGACTTTCATTTTTGAATTTTCCTTGGAGTTCGGTATTTTTGTTATTTAACTTTCTAATAGATATTTGACGCTAAAAAAAAATCACATTTTGATTGTACATCTTTATCGAAGCCTTTTTAGAAGTCTTAGATACCAATTCGCCGTATGGTGTCAAAATTTGAATGAACGGGAGCCAGTAAAAAACGACAAAATACATTGCAAACTATATTACTTTAGTCATGCAAAAACAAACAAGAATTCAAAATAATGGGTTGCCGTTTCCGTCTTATTTTGATTTCAAGTATAAGTCATTTCATCTTCAGGTTAGTGAATTTTTGTTTAATTTAAGAAGTATTCTTTTTTTTTGAAAATGTGTATGCACCAATTGTACTGTTGTTTTACATTAAAGGATTAAGCCAATGCAAAACAATGTTATATTGTGTTGTTTTTACAAGTAAAATACAAACATTTTTTACATGTATCTTGTGTAGTTTGTTTGTTTAGGAGAGGATGTATAAACATATAAATATCAAACATTGACGGAATTTGACGCATTACGTTTGCGCGCATTTGGGTTTATTTTTTTTTACGTGTTCGCTAATTCATTTTACAGGTAACACAGGTAAAAATACACCATTCATAATAAATATGACTATAATTATTATTAGTTTTGAACATATTTGTAAATTCAAATTATATATTTTTCATATTGAATTCGAAAAAAATAGAAAGTGATCATAGCTCAAGACATACATATAACTTAATAACGAATATTTTAGAGTAAAAAGTATTCTATTTCCTAATTTTACTAAATAGGGATCGCTTTAGAAAATAATTTAAGTCATTTTGTAAAGTTGCGTCAAGGCACAAACACAGAGTTTCGTTTGTCAGAAATTAATCGGAGAAAAAAGCATTATTCTCCATATCGACAGAACACACAAGTCAGGGGATAATCATTTCATGGCGATGCACCGTATATAATTGCAAAGGTATTTCACCAGATTCTCCATTTCCTCCACCACAGTCAACAGAATCCAGGCGTATTACAAACGGTCAGGAATCAATCCATGCTCACTACAATGAGCAATTTTATTCAGCACATCCATGTATTTTTGTTTTTTGTGTTTCCTTAAAGCAGTGTGCTTCAAATATTCAGCACGTTACGACATGTGATTATATAAAATCAGTACTTTTAAATTTGAGATTCGCTGTGTTTTTACAGTTTTATCTGTATATATCTCCAAGAATAAGTGTTAATGCATAAAAAACGGACTTATCTTGCTTGAAAATCATAATCAAATAAATAAATTAATTAATTAAGTACACTCTACCTGTGTTTACCTGTAAAAGAATGAGCGCAAATGTAATCAAAAGCTTCTCGCAAACGTAATGATTTTTTTCCGGCGGAAATCTACCAAATGGCTCGTATTCTCCTGTATAAAGAGCTTGTTATAGACCTAGAGTGTAATATATCCATGGTTGGGTTATAACTTGATTTTTTTTATAAAAAGGAAGAAGGGATGGGGTAAAAATTGAAAATTGGTATCTTGCATCTCATATGGTTGGGAAGAATATAGTAGGAGATTTTTCTTTATCTTCTGCACTTTTACACTATTCGGGATAGAAAAATCTATGTAATAAAATAAAAATAATATTTTACGCAACATGTCTACATCGAAGTTTTTTAAAAAATCAAAATGTTGTTGGATATTTCATATTTCATACAATAATGTTTTTTTTTGTTATTTCAGGATCTGTTGGACAAATGATTATACTGTTTGCTGGAATGCTATTTGTTGAATTTCAAAACATTAATTCCATATAAAATGAATGTACAAAATTAAAGAATAAACTCTCTTTTTTGTTTATAAGAATGATATAATTTGTGTCTTACAATATAGATCATTCATAGTCTTTTATAAACAACGAAGACAACTGGCGAGTTCAGGTCTTTGAACAAGTAAATACAAATTTAGCAGGAATAGATTTGTGGTGTGTTATGTGGATCGTTATGAGGATAAAAGATAGGGCAAAAGCACACACACATTACAAATCATAACAATTCATTTACCTAATCATTACCGGATACTGAAATTAAACCTTATAACATACAAATTTCTAATTTTGTATCATAAAATGGTCGACAGCATTGACATCAGGATAACAAAAAATAATAATTACATGTCATTTTATTAAAGGTCTGTTGTCACTTTCAAAGTTTTTTTTATACCAAGAAAACCTGGAAAAAGTTTTTAAAGGTTTTTTTTTATAGTGACAACTGTCAAAGAAAACTTTGATCAAAAACTTTGACGGACTATGATTGAATTTTCATCACACATTTCTGCAGTACGGATCATTATATACTGTGAATTCAAAAAGCTTCATGTAGCATTGTCATAAATACTGTAAATTGAACACGATGTAGTGCAGTCCTCATAATAAATCATTGAAAAATTCCAATGACATGTATAGTGAGGTCAATCATGTAAGATTTAACTTCAATATAAAGTGCATTGATAACGGGTAGAACATACCAACGCCAATAGGACAGCAATCCAATGCTTAAATAAGCATTACATACTTTTGGGGGTCATGAAGTTATGTGGATTATAACAATAGACAGGTGTCTATTATATACTAGTATACTAATGTTAAGCTTTAAACCATCCCGAATGAAACAATGTTGGGACGAACGCTAACAGAGATTATCAAAGATCTACCACCAAAGCCCACCATCACCAAACTTCTGCTTAAATCTATATTGTAGTTTCTTGAGATCCAACCCTTTCTTTAATTTCGGTCAGTGGAATAGCAAAGGTACATAAACAAAAAAATACATTTGTAATGACAATATTCTATATAACCACAAATAAAAACAAAACAACTACAATTAATAATGTGTGTAAAAAAATAATCGCAGTCACTGAAAGTCGGGTCAATGCACTGAACCTGCAGATATGAAATTATGCCATTCTACACTTATATCTCGGAAACTGCACTTCAGAGTGTATTATATCACCACCGACAGCTCGGGAAGACACAATCTGGCGTAATACGCAGAATACATTTGTAGAGGATTGTGATGCAAAATAATGAGTAAATAAAAATCAAAATAAAAAAACACTTTAGTGTTATTCATACTATGAATTAGCAAATTGATGTCCAAGGCGTAATGATCAATGACTCAACAGCGACAATACATCTATGATCTTTATTTATGATTATACGTCAAATAAGCTAAAGAGAAATATATAAAGCCTTTTAAGGACAATTCATGAATTTTTTGGTTATATGAATATTATTAATGTAAAAAAGTAGGTGTGACGTGTGTCTTATTCACTCAATTCACCCATATTTTTGAAACCAATTAGTTAACAGGTTCGACTGACATATTGATGACATTTCAACCTTAAAGTGTTTATGCAATAATAATATTACGTTCGACGAAATCTATGACGTCACTTCTAGCAAATATTCAGGATCATATACATATTGAACCGTTTGAGAAATTTACACAAATGTAAAGTCGTCCTGTTTGTCACCAACTTTGCGTTGAAGATTAACATAAGTTATGCAAATATCAATGTTTAAAAAGGACAACGATCACTACAAATGTTAGATTTAATAAGAGTGAGTAGAGATGGATTCATTTTATTTTAATATTGGGAAATTTCTGAATTATTCACAGAAAATTTGTCGTCTTAATATCTGCAGGTATTGTAAAAAAATGTCTATGCAGTGGTGTTTTGATCTCTTTTGTCATGGCATTGCCAGTTTGTTTTCGACTAACTTATGAGTTTGAATATCCCTTTGGTATATTTCGCCTTTCTTTTAGTAATCGAGTAAAACATTTTGGTTTTGTTTTTAGTATCATTAACGTTAATTGGAGTTTGGTATTTATTTTTGGATTGTGTCCACCCTTTTTATACCGTAGGCCCAATACAGGTATAGTGCTTCGCGATATGTCGTTTTCATCTAAGTTATAAAGTTGGTTCAATTTATTGTGGGAGTGATCCAATTTATCAGATTCATATAGTTAGTATACCTAAAAAACTACGTCAAATTTCTCATTTTTCATTGGTTTAAATCTTTTAAATAAGCCAATGTTGCCATGGCTCTGAAAGTTCAATTTGGCAGAATTAATTTTACAACAAATTTCCCAACCAGTTCTGAAAGTTGACTATATGTAAATGGCATTTGATCTTTACCAATAACAACAGCTATTTTATTATGAAAATTATGATGTCGAGCAAAGCACACTTTCTGCTTCAAAATGAGGTTTGCGTTCTCTTTCCAACGCTATGTTTATAAGCATTATCATTATGTAATGCTATCTTTCTTTTGTTTTTGAAGATATAAAGACGTATACCGTTCGTATAAGTGGTTCATAAGTGGTTATCGTTTCTCGTTTTTTATATAGATTAGACCGTTGGTTTTCCTGTTTGAATTGTTTTACACTAGTCATTTTGGGGCCATTTATAGCTTGCTGTTCGGTGTGAGCCAAAGCTTCGTGTTGAAGGCCGTACTTTGACTTATAATTGTTTACTTTTAATACATTGTAACTTGGATGGAGAGTTGTCTCATTGGCACTCATACCGTATCTTCTTATTTATGTATACTGTTGACTGTATTTGTTTACTGTAGTTTAAGTTATAAACCTACCAATTTATTAGTGAAATTAGTATAAGAAACAGAATGAAACGAGGTGTATCAACCGATTAAACATTTATTCTATGCATGAATTACCCGACATAAGAGTCCAAGGTTATAGGTATAAGCAAATATCAAAATCAGTGGAATTGTAAAAAGAATAAGGATCTTAACAGGAAACCCCCCCTAGAACGTGTCCGATCGCCCGAACGTTTCCATATGACGCCACTGAGCTCCCAAACATGTCTAGTTGATGAAGGAGCCAATACGTGTCCTTTTCGTAAACGCTCAGACATGTCTATATTTAAAAATAAACGTTCAAACGTGTTAATCTTAATCAAAAGGTTTTTGTTATGGCAAATGTTGATTGAAATAGAATATAGTTGAGATTAGTTCAGGGACCTTAAACTTACAGTACACAGAAAAAAAACTCTCGATTAGTTTATAAAATGTTCTTCCTTGTTCGGTTTTTTTCAAAGGGTACTGTTTTGATATTGTAAAAAAGGAACAGTAGGACAGAAGCCTATTATTAGAGCTAAAAGTTTTGAGATGTTATGGCGTCTTAAAGTGGACAGGTTTCGGCGAATTACATTTGTCGGACACGTTTGGGGGAGGTAAACATCGGACGCGTTTGAGCGAATATGACTGTTATACTGAATGTGAATTTACATTGCTGTGCGGCGTGTCTCGGTGTTTTGTATATCCAACATAAATGGATTTATTTTGTTGTTTCTGTTATGGTTTAGGTTGGATAATCTGATATGTCTTATCGTTTGTAGTCAAAATAATTATAAAATTGCCTTTCAATACCATTATTGTCATAAAAATTGTTTGGATCAATATTGTGAAAATAATTGTATAAAGTTCCAGATTGCATGTTAGTTACGTAAGCGCGTCACTGTTTTTGATATCCTGTGGTGTTTTTCGTTGATGGAGAATATGTTAAGGTTGTTCTGTGGATTGTATGTTGTGTCGACTATTATATTATTTGTTTGTGCGTTTCTGTTATGAATGTTCTTGCGTGTGTTTGTACTGTATTTCTGTCACGTAGTGTTTTAGCGATATTTTTCAACATTGTCATAAAGCGGGAGGTTTGGCATGCCATAAAACCAGGTTCAACCCACCATTTGTTTTTTTAAATATCCTGTACCAAGTCAGGAATATGGCAGTTGTTATCTAATAGTTCGTTTCTATGTGTGTTGTCGTTTTTTTTTTGGTTGCACTTTGGTGTTCCTGTTGTTCATTTGTTTTCCTCTTATAGTTGATGTGTTTCCCTCGATTTTGGTTTGTAACCCGGATTTGTTTTCTCTAAGTCGATTTATGACTTTTGAACACCGGTATACTACTGTTACCTTTATTGAACGAAGTAAATATTCAGACAGGTTTTTGGGAAAAAAAATTGGACATGTTTGGACGAGATATGGTTTTGAAGACACGTTTGGGCGAAAAATAGACAGGTTTGAAGAATTGGATACGTTTGGTGGGATGGACACGTTGTTTTAGAGTGTTACATGCATATTTTAGAATAATTTAAATTCTTCGATAGCTATTTTTGATAATAAACATGGCATGGAATCTCTTATTAAATTTGCTAAATGCAAACCAAAAGTAGTAAATTATCACGAATATGTCAATGTAAAATGCATTACGCCCTTAAAAGGAAATCATGGACAAATTTTAATGATAATTTAGTGTCAAATATTATAAACGTACTATCATACATCAATAAACTCATCATAGATACCAGGTTTAGAATTGTGTACGCTAAACGCGCGTTATATATTACTATAAATTATCACTATTGATATCCATTACTAACCAACACATCAAAGGTCACGCAGGAATAAACTTTCAATTGTCTCTACGACATAGTTTTTTATGCGGCCATTTTCGGTAAATTTAGTGTTCAAAATAAAATAAGATTTTTACCTCCGGGTAAAAATGGTCTTACATGCATATTTTAGAACCTCCGAGCAAAAATGGTCTTAGCCAGATATGGCTCAACGTTTTTTTTGGGGTTTTTTTTTCAATGCTTTTGATCTTTGGTATTGATTTGGCCCTCTAACTAGTTTGATTCGATCTGCACTACTGTGTTTTATGTAAATAGAATCTGAGTTTTCTATACTAAATAACAAATCTGGTACCTTTCATGATTTTTAGATATGTATTGTAATAACTTTCATTACACCGTTTTATTATTAATATAT